CCTGGCCCAGCCTGGTGGGGGGAGGAGCCACCTTAGCCCCCCATGGCTAAGGCGAGTCCCAAGAAAGGGGTGGGGGCAGGCCTGCCCCACCTGGCCCCACAAACTCTATCTTGCAGGTGGTGCTGCAGGTGGGCAAGGCTCTATGCTGCTGCTGCTCAGGTGAGTGGGGTCCCAGGTCTCCCCACCACCAAATCTCACCTGCTGCACCTGGGGCTATGCAGGCAGGATTGGGGAGCTGGGCAGTTGCTGTGGCACAAGCGGGCTGTGGAGTTTTATAGCATGCTAGGGGGGCCCCAGGAAGTAAAAGGCTGAGAATCTCCAAGTTAGAGCAAAGGAATCCCTGTACCAAGTTTAGCAATATGTGGTATTCTGAAGACTTACGGTAACATTTCTGTTCTTTGTTCCCCTTAAGAAAAAAGTAATTTTTCTATATTTTTTTAATCTTGATGCTATGGGGTAACGTTTGAAAACAAAGCCATGTCCAGAAAACACCATTTTAACCAAGCAGACAAATATCCAGACCAAATTACAAGATCGTGCAATATTTACAAAGGGTGTCCAAGTATGTAATGAGAGTCATTCAGGTAGGAGCAGTTCACACATTTAAGAGCAAAGAAACACAAATGCTTGAATTAGAAAAAAAATCCCAAGCCTAGTAAAGTTATTTTAAGAAACACATATTTTTTTGTGCTACTTTCAATTACTACAATGTGTAGTTCATTCCTCATGTAATCATTTTTATAAAAGGAATACATGTAAATAATTAATGCAGTAAACTGAAGAAAATTAATATCCAGGGTAAGTATTATGAACATCTACAAAATAGACAGAGAATGTTTACCATAGTTTTTCATTTTCATGGGGATACAGTCGTATTATGACAAGGTGAAAGGTCTTGAAGTCTTCATTTTAAGCCACAGGTGTTCTTTATAGAGATTTTTTTTAATAAAGAGTATTATTAGTCCTTTAAATTAGCTCTTATTGCAAGTTACCACATCTGTGCTATGTGGTAATGAAGCCAGGGGGAGGTCATAGCAGGGGACTTACACTTGAAGAAAACATCTGGACATTACTTTGAGATTCACTAGCAGCTTCTTGTATTTTATTAAGCTGTAAGGAAATTATACTAAATTCATATATAAGATTCAGTCAGCTTAATAATAATATTGAAATGAAAATACAAGAACTGGAAAAACCTAACACTGAACAAATAGCCACCTTCCCCAATTCCAATTTGATACTATATATTACCCATATAATGGCAACATCAATTTTAAGAGGTTCCTTTGAAAATGAATATTTGGGTATATTATGGGTTTTTTTTATAACAGAAGTCAACATTAATTATATGAGATGACACATTGAGATATATGCTTTTTTGTTTGCAATAATTATTTCAGGTACTAAATACTTCATTTTAGAAAAAGCTGCCTGTCAATTAGAGGAAGCATTCATATCCTTCTACAAGGCATGCAATTTCCTGATCTCAACTTCACATTGGCAGATCTAAGCAAAGATAGATGACTTTGTATGCAGCAGTTGCACTTGTCCGTTTCAATGATGGATTATATGTATATTTAGGAATTAAGTTAGAGGTAAGCTCATTAATTCAAATTGTATATTTAACCTTTAATAGACTTCTCAGCTGAAAGCAGCACTAGTCTTAAAGGACTTTGACACAGCATATGACAGTTGTTTCTCAACAAACAATGCTGACAGGAACTCCCCAATTAAGAAATCAAAAGTTAACAGTCAGCAGGGTCAGATGACCAACTATTCAAATACGCGAGACAGCTGCTTTGTAGAGCAGCTAGGCTGGGAATGTTTATAGGGTTGTGTTTACAGTACTCATTTCAAAGTCTTGAACTGAGGGTACCACTGTCTGGAGTGCCAACTGGGTAGTTGCTCATTTGAATATACTTTTGCAGATACCAATATTGCACTTCTTTTGGATACAGGTTCTTATACCATGGTCATCACCTTAGTATCAAAGTATCTTCCAGTAGCACAATGAACAGCCTGACTAACATCTGTCATGTGTTTGACTTTCTCATCATCTTTTCAGGAGGAGATGTAAGTGTATTTCAGTTAATTGCTTAAATGTCAATCTGTTTCATTCTTAAGAGTCTGATTTTTATTACAGTTTTTTTTCCCATTGACACTTTCAGTTTAACATACAACCTACAAAAAATGTAGTAAGTTTTCAGTAAAAGAACCCAATGAAATAATAGTGGCCTACACATTTTGCCTTGTCATAGCAGTCAGAGTAAGGCAAACCAAAAACCCATTTCAGATCCACTATAATGTAAACCCATTCAGCAACAAAATCTGCAAGTAAAGTTCATTTTATTATAGACTGAGTCTGTTTTAAAAACAAAACAAAAAAACCCCATTTAATGTGAATGTTACATAACACATATTAAGACAGGACACCAGACTTTTTTCCCCCTTCCCACTGGGAGTTTTATTTTATAGCATTTGCATCAGGTAATCAACTGAAACACTTCAACAACAGAAAGCTGGCAGCATAGTAAAGAAAATGAAGTGATTATCTCTCAAACAGACGTAACAAAACGGTTTAAGTTTGGGATAATATTGCACAAATGAATCAATATATGGATAAAAAGAGAGAGGATAAAGAGTGGGAGTGAGCATCTTCAACATGGATTGTTAGGAAAAAAGGCACTATTTAGCTGTGTGTGTATCTAAAAATAAAAAGCATGAGGCACAATCCATGTTTCTCAAAGTTACATTCGATACTTCTGTAGAAATGCTCACAAACCTAACTCTCTTAATACAGAAGCTACAGCAAATTGCTGATCTCAGTATCAGACAGGACAAGTGTCTAAACAGATTTATAATTATGCACTATAAAAATCTTCACAAAGAGGACCCATTTTATAAATAGTACTGCAAAATTTCAGCTGCATGGGCTTAAAGTAAAGGATACATCCAGACAACTGATAATCCATTAGAGTTTCTCCAAGTCTGATCTCCAGTAGTCATAAAATATGCTCCACTTTTAAAGAGCTAAATTGGCAGTGCACTCAAAATAGGCTTTTCAGCTGGCTGCCTAAGCAGCGTAGTTTAGACAGCATCACACATGCATCTCTTCTCATTGCATGTCTTTCTCTATACCAGGTGAAACAGATGCAAAAGTATAAACAGCAATTGGACCTCTCCTGATGTAAATAGAATTATTTTAAGATTATAAACAGGCAGAAGTGTATTACTGGAAAGCAGAGGTAGCTAAACATCTTCAGACATGTTAAATAGCTGGAAAAGGCATTTCAGACTCTACAATGAACTGCTTCCTCTTTGCTACATTCTAAAACCATAAAATTTCACTCCTGTTTCAAATCCCTTAATTCATGTTCAATACATAATTAATAAACAGAGTCTATTAACAGAAATTTAGGTACTATACACAACATACATTCCAGTTCTTAACATTCTGACTCAAATACTGTCCATAAATACAAAGGGTGAAATCCTGCCACTATTGCAGTCGATGGCAAAATGTCCATTGACTTCAATGGTTCTAGTATTTCAGCATACATTATTTTCATGGCAAATCTCTTCTAATTATAGACACTCTGTGCAGAGATTCAGTGATTTTCCCATATATCTGCAGGCAGAAAGCTACAAAAATGTACTCTACTGACCACACAGTCTGCAACAGCAAAATACTGCATGTCACTAAATTTCATTGAATTCATTACAAGAGAGTGGAAGACAAATTTTCACGTATGTTGTAAATTTGTTTAATGCAAACAGTTTGGAGAACTTTAGTATCTGAACTGAAGATTAGTAAAGCAGGTTATTAAAAATCTGTAAAGCTATTCATCCTTAATGCTCTACTTATGGGGAAACAGAAATTTGTTACCTGGGAATACAAAAGTCCCTAATATGCTCAGAGTTGAATCCATTATTATATCAGGCACAGAAGTAGCCATAATCTGAATTTAGCCTCCATCCCATGCACAATATTTCCAGAGCACCAGCTAAAATAAATATTTTTCCACATTAAAATTACAGACATTAAATGACTATATCCAAAGACTTTCATATTCCTATATCAGCAGTCCAATTTTGTCAGTTCACAGTCAGTAAAGAACAAGAAGTGACATGATCTGAAAAAAAAGCATTCTTCCCCATGATATTAATCAATGAATGATAATGTTCTCCTTTGTAACTGAAAGATTTTGTTCTAGGTTTGCAAATCATTTTGAAGCGCCCTGTTTTCAATTATTTTCCAAAACTTTTAAATTTTTGCAGAAGAGAAACAGAACTTCAAAAACAAGCTAGCAGACACTCTGGCTCTAATGAAGTCAATGGCTACAATGTTACATATAATTTTCTTGTCAACTTAGGTCATTTGAATCCTTATTTCTATAGCACATTGGGTACAGTGTTTTCCTCTGAAGAATACTTTATGTTTTTGTTCAAAGCCATGACTCTGAAAATTTCAGAAAAGGATCAAGTAAGGTGTTTTTGACCAGACTGAAAAGGAGACAGTTACTAGGGTCAACATGAGCTCTGTCCTGTCATTTAGTAAGGAATCTTATTGGATTATATATACATATGGAAATATACATTTTATTTCCAAATGTTACCACTTTTTAGTGTAAAGCTTCAATAGTTTTTCCTTATGTATGATCCTACTATCCTCAATTCTTCTCATCCAGCCAGACAACCAGCTATAAGAACCACAGATCAAGTAACATTCTGTTCCAAATGAAACCTGTGCATCCTTGAGGGCGCATATACATGAGACACTTCACTGTGCAGCAGACTAATTTGCTGCACAGTAAAGCATCACCATCTATACTTGCATGGCAATTAGGGTGCAGTAGACTAATTTACTGCGCTGCCAGATAGCCCAGTGAGATACACGTGGTATCCAGCAGTGCAGTAAATCACTGTGTTTAAACACACGTGTAGATGATGACCTTAGGATTAATTTACTCTAGCTCAATTTGAGCCAAAGTATAGTCAGTCGCATTAACTGCATGTGTAGACACACTCAATAATAGCAGATAAGAAATAGGATTTTTCAGTCTACGTCAGGTTCATGACACACATGCTAAACAATCAGAAAGGTAAATTCATGATTATCTAATTGAGAAAAATGTAACTATTAGGGAGAACTTCAGTTTTAAAACTGAAAGTAGAAGATTTACAGAAGATTAAAGCATATTAAAGGTGGGTTTTTTTAAATGTACTTGATATCATCTCATTAATTCTTTTAGTAACTGGATCACTATATTTGTGGCATCAAACATCCATTTTACAGTTTTCATTACTAGAACAAACTGGTCAAAGAAACTCCATCTCAGTAAATTTATGCTATTGCCTTAAGCAATACATTTCTTTAATAATTTAAATCCATACCATTGATTTCACCTTGTCCCCTCTCTGTACCCTTTCAAAATCAAATCCTGTGAAACTCATTTTAAGAAAAGGCAGGTGGTAAAATGTACAACTACTTTGATTTAAAAAAGTATTTTTCTATATATTTTTTTGTATTTATCCACTGCAGTTTGATAAAACACAGTGACCCTGGTACCCAGAAATCTGTTCCCTAATCCCAATCTATTTAATCTACCATGTTTTTCACATTGCTAATAATGGCAACTCATGTAAATTTACAATTGTGAAATAAGGCAGTTACATAAATATATTTATGTCAAGTTCACTGTATCTCTCTCAACCAGACTGCACATTTGATTTCCTTTTTCCTCTTTCTACATAAAAGGATGAGGACTAACTTTATACACAGAGAATTCCTGACAATGTGCTGTGTATTAAAGTTATAGAGGTCACTGAAGTGCATTTCAGCAATGTCCAACAGTTAACTCAAACAGGAAGTAGAACAGTAGATGTGATGTTTTTACTTCACATGTAACAAAACTGGTGCAAAAACACTTTAAACTAGTTACTTGTAACCTTTTGGTCCAAATACATAAAATATGCAATATTTACAGCATATTACTCCTTTCTGTAAATGCAATGCTTTAAAACACATTATAAAGCACCTTAGTAAAAATATTCTACAGGTAAAAGTATAGAAGAAGTAGGAAAACCCTAACCATACCACAGCTCACCAATGGAGTCATAATATGGATTCACCAATATCTCAGTTTACAGTTATTACAAAGAATCCATGGAACAATTTGATACCCAATTTACTATTTCTTATACCAATGTGTAAGCATCAACTAAAACTGCAGGCAATGCCAACTTTCTCAACAGTTTTCTCAACCTCAGTTGGCACTGGAGGGGAGGAAGTAAATGAGAAACATTGCTTTGATTCTCTATCTTTTTACAATATTAATATGGAAATGATTTTTTTAAACACTAATGATCAGTTATAACTTTTTTTTAATAAAACCACATATATAAATATGGCAAATCCAGCAGCAGTAGCTTTTCTTAGCAGAACATGATTAACCATTCCAATGAATATCATGTGACATGATTCACAAAAACAAAGCACAGATGTCAACCAGTTATTAACACTATCCATGTTTGTATATAACCAAGATCTCCAGGTTGAAGCTGGGAAACAAATTATTTCTTCTTCATAGAAGTTTAAACAAAAAATAAATTGCTCTGAGAATCGAAACCAGCATAAACAGAAGCATTTTTTGTTTACATTTTCAACTAGGGCTGCTGTGTGGTTAAATCGCTATAAATGAAAGTGTAGGGTTCTTAAGACAGCGGGTAATACCTCCCACTGAAAATTAGTTAGATAAAAGTACTGAAGCCTAGGCTTCTGGATTACCAACATACTTAGTCAGCATCCAGCTCCCCTGATGCGATCCACAGCCCAATTTTCTCAAGACTAGTGAAAATGTCTCAGAGGTCTACCAGCAATCTAGTTTCCAGGGCTGAGAACTAAGATGATGTGACCAAAGTTTTAGTCCATTAATCTAGTAGTATACCTCGTTCTTAGTTTGATTTAGGGTAAATCTTTTCATAGAAAAAGTTTTGTGCCAGAATATACAATTCACCATCTTTTTCCCGAACTGCATGTGCTCTGACGTACTGAAATTGCTCCAGTGCAAATTCATAAAATTCGTTTTCCATTTTCCAAATTTCAGACTGCTGCAACTTGGCAATGGTTTCTTTTGTGGGGAGCTTTTTCTCTGTTGTTTTTCTAAGATGAGACTTCTTTCCTACATGTAAAATGAAAGTAATTATAATTTCACTCCCCCTCCAGTTCAAGTCATTCCAGAAGTGCAGCAATACAGACTCAACTATTTGTTTGCACAATTTTCTTCAGTTAGCATACTGATAACTTGTACCAAAGGTGACAAAACTTAATCCAGAATTTAATAATGTAACCACATAAAATAAAATAAAATACAATTACCTTGATTATTACATTTTAAGAATAACCTTAAGGAAGCAATTAAAACAAAACCTATTTTCTCGTTTTGGTTTAATCCTCATTTATCTCTCCCACCTATTTTCTCACCTCAATCTTGAATGCTGATCCATACAAGCAAGCATCTGCATCTGCAAAGACTGTCACTGACTTAATGAGGGCTGAATTCTTTGTTAAAAAGGTTGACTATGCAGAGCACTGTCAACTAGGGCTGGGCAAAGCTTCGATCGCTGATTGCATTTGGCAGAGATTCAACCTGATTCAGCAGCCAAATCTCCGAATCCAAATAGAATCAGGAGACCCTTTAATTGCTCTGAATCGATTCGGAGAGATTCGACGATTTGGACACAGACGCAGCTTTAAATGTTTTTTTCTACATACCTCAAGGTACCAGGTGGCTTGTGAATGCTGAGATGGTGGGGCAGATGGAGCATCCCACAGGAGCGCAGGGGGATCCCTAGCACGCTTGGTGGCAGACCCAGAAGTGGACCAGAAGCACAGAAGACTGGTGCCTCATGGGTCTGAGGGGCACCTGGGTTCCCCCTGTGGCCAATCACTGAGCTGGGGGAGCACAGGGAGGGGTGAGATGGGGGGGGGTGTCCCCTGTGCGCTTCCGGGTCTGCCACCAAGCATGCAGGGCCCCCCCCTGCACTCCTGTGGGATACTCCATCTGCCCCAGCATCTCAGCCGTTTACAAGCCTGGTACATCAAGATATGTAGAAAAAACATTTAAAGCTGTGTCTATGGCCAAATCACCGATTCTCTAAATCTGCATTGAATCTTCAGATTTGGCTGAATCGAATTGGGACGGTGATCCGAATCAACGGATTGAATCACTGTCCCTGAAATCAGGCCGAATCAGAACTGAATACGGCCCACTTCGCACACCCATACTGTCGACCTCAGTGGGACCAATCTATCAGTACTGACCAGCTTACAAGCTCAGGGTTCTAGATTGTCAGCTGTACACTGGGGGTGGGATAATGTCTTTTGATTAACCTGATAAAAACCTATTTCACTTTTCATGTGTGCATAAGCAGCAGTAAGTTTGCCAAGTTATTGTGGTATAGCTGAAAAAAAAAAATGTTCCACTGCTGCCTGTATGTAATTTGTGTTGGGAGTAAAGATTTTTGGCTTGCTTAGTAAAACTGATAGAAAAGATTTTCTCTGAGAAGCATTTCTTCCATGGGCTCAGAAGGGGCCACTGAGGTCTGAAAAGTTCATGTGAAAAAATAAAGGAGAGTGGAGTAAAGAATACAGTGAAAACAGCAAATTCCAATACCTGTCCGGTACAGTTCTGTAGCACCCCTGAAGAACCGGGGCAAAGCTGCCTCCAACAACATAATAAAGTCTTCAAGCTCTTCAGTAACTCCCACTAGGAAGTATTCATTAATCAGGTTGTACTTGGCTTGCTCCAAAGCCCATCTGCTTCCCGGATTCCTAAAATGATACAAAGCAATTACAGCAAGGTTCTGATGTTAGCCAAGAATTCTGGATTGCTAGATGTGGATTTCTTCACATTATCTTAGCACAGTCAGGGCAGGATTGCACTTTAGACACACCCGTCTCTAATATCTTTTACTCTACTTTTTCTCCCAGGCTCTTTTCACCTATAGTTGTGTGAACAAGAAAAGCTAGAGGTCAAGCTTCATGACTCTACAAAGCTGCTCACAATTTTTTTTAAACTAATAATGTGAGGGTTCAATGTTTTTTCCAAGTTGATTCCCAATACCAGATTGGGGTAGACAGGACCAGGCCATATTATATAGAGAGCATACTGGAGCAGAAGATCCCAGGAGGCTTTTTGCTTTGCCTTTACTGAAAAGTCTGTTAAATTAGGACAGCATAGACTTGATAACAGTCCCTTTTTCTTTGCTTAAGAGATGTTTTCACTGATATCATCAAGCAGTATTAAAAGAATTTGAATGGAATTGTTTCACAGAAGTTTTTTTATTTTCTAACCTAAATTTCTGGGAGAAGACTTCCTTGAAATCTCTCTCTGTAAAGACACATTTGCTTAATCCATATTTTAAGTTACTGAGTTTTGTTTTGCTTTCTAATAAACAAATAGAGTTCACTGTTTGGCACAGGGTTTATCAAAACACCAGCTAAATTTAAGGTAAAAGTTTATTTTTCTATCCATAAATTCAATCAGCTTGACAAGAATGCTTTCATTCAGGCAGATACACACTGTTAGCAATACTGGCCTGATTTAATAAGAAATTATCAAGATAGTGAATCAATAAAAGTGGGGTTTATAATTGAGGCAATGCTCATCAATTATACCATTGCTGATATACCTCTATTACTTCCTTTAAACAAGCTACAGGGTGAAGTAATGCAAGGGTTTGTTTGTTTTTTTTAAGACAAATGCTTTTGGAAGGTAATCCACAAATTGCGTATTAGTTAACTGCTGGGTATTAGACTTTGCCTGGGCAGTCAGACCTGTTAAATATAGATTATAGTGATAATACACTTGATTAGCAACTGAAGCTAACTTTATCGCCCTACCAGCATTCTGAGCTGTGGCCACAGAAGAATGGAATCTGAAGCCAAAGTTTCTCTGGAGCACAGTCTGAGCCTCCAGCTGCTACACATTCATCAAAAGTCTGGAACAAAGACAAAGTTGAGCAGTGAGCTATAAATCTCAGTCTTGTATATCAAACATCTTTACAGGGTTTATTGCTAAATGTATTGGGAAGAAAGAAACAGGGTTAGAGACAAACACATTTTTTTCCTCAAGCTCTGCATTCACAATACCTTCTTACCAAGAAAGTCTGTTTTCATTGAAAAAGCATTTGGGTAATATTTTCTGATTGAAAATAACTGACAAGCTTAAAGCTCTAACTTGAACCTTTTACAAGAAATCAAATTCTGTCACAAGTAAATGAGGATACAGGTCACTATTGCAGTTTTTCCTTTATAAAAACACTTTAGACTCAAAAACTGCACTAACACTACTCTAAGACAGACTGGAGTTTGGATCTAAGTGTAAAACACTGTGCATGTAATTAATAAAGGATACAATTAATATTTTGCTACAATACTGCATTTAATCCATTTCATTTCAAGTTTTGTGTCTAGCTTAAAATATGATGGCTTCCAATATGCTAATAAACAACATTCTACATGTATGGACATCTACAGTGAAGTCTACGGGGTGATATTATTGATTACAAAAAGTTGTTAACATTGAAGGGAAATTAATGTTACAAGTATGCTACCCATTCAGTACCTAGAAACAAAATATTTTTGACATCCCCAAAATGCAATGTGGTAGGTTTCTTTTTTTAATCCTGTAAAAGTATATACTTATGAAGACAGCCTTTGACAACACTTTGTGCAGTTAAAAGCATGGCTTCTGTAAAAAATTCAAACCAACAAAATGAGAAAAAAGGACAATAAATATGAGAGCTATTTTGAGAAAAAGTAGGGAGGGTAAGTTACTTCAGTGTTACAGTGAGAAATTCACTGAAGTCAGATGGGGATGTTGGGTGGCCCTGAACGAGTTTGTTTTGGAGTAGTCATTTTCCCTGAGTTTCACTATACAAAAGCTTATGTCATTAGTTATCCTGAGGTAAAAATGAAGCTTTTGCAATAAAAACAAAACATATTCACTAGCATTCAAAATTCAGCACCAATAACAAACTCCAGGAGGTCATGGATTTTTTTTAAACACAGAACAGCATTCATTAACTATACCAGGCTCAGAATAGTATGATCAGCATATTAAATTTCTATAAAAAACAAGTATGCTTAGTTAAAGCTTAAAGCTTTCCATCCTTTCTCAAGAGAGCTACCATCTATTTACGTAGTGCTGATCAGCACAACTAAATTGTAACTTGTTCTGTCATAACCCGTGCAGATGTATCAATGTTGCACATGAGTGGGAATCTGTCAACTGATACGACTTCTTCTGCTGTAGGTAGAGATCATTTATAATTTAAAAAGGGAGCCAAATAATTTCCTAAATAAAACAAAATGAAGGCATCACCTTCCCCTTCCTTCCTCAACACACATCTTACTCATTATATCCAGAGAGACTAACATAAGAAACCATTGTATTTCTGTTCCTGTAGCCAAAATATCCACTACTCCGGGAGGTTCAACAGAAGGGTAATAGTTCTTCCTTTTTCATATGGTAAAAAAAGTCACTCCAAGTAAATGTATAGTGTAAATTATCTGAACCTGTCCTATAATTTCCATTAATTCTGATGTAACAACAGTAAAACAATTTTTTATGAAAAATATTTTTCATTTTAGAAAGTGGTAAATGGAGAAGCCAATCCACATATGAGGGCGATGTGTAACCAGTTTTGCTATATTTTTGCTCTAATAATTTAACTTGGAAATAAGATATAATATATTTATCAAATTGCAGTTCTGTTTAGCAGTAAGAGATAAAGCTAATGATTATGGCTTAGTCAACTGTTGAAGTTTCTGATTTGTATGTTCCAAACAAATTAACTGGCACCCCCTTTAGGCAAAGTTTTCTCCGAATGATTTCAAAAGACTGCAGGGACTGCAGTACAGTCTGATTTATTGCAAATAATGATAGAAACACTTGAACTTGAACCAGTTTCACCAAATGTGAAATACAAAGTTCTCATGAAACAGTTCAAATCTACACGGCAATAACCATAATCTAAAAGCAAATATCTTTTTGTTAGCTGTAGTGACATGATGAAAATAAGAGATCAAATGTCAGAACACAGAATTGTTAATGCATTAGGAAGGTTTAAATTGGAATAAATTAGAACTTCCTTCAGCAAGCACAGCATATTCAGAAATGGCATTTTGGGGTTGAGTTTCAACATATAGGTTCTCAATAACTGCATACCAAATATTCTCAGATTACAAAAACATGATTTATTTAATTTCTTTTCTTTTAACACTCTTGGTCCTATAAACTCAGCATGGATTTGGAGTCAAGTTAAGCAATATTCATTTTGCATGTCTTCATCAGCAAAAAGTTCCAGAGGCCAAATTATGCTTTCATGCAAAGAAACAGAGTAGGTTATATATAGGCAGCCTACTATCTTTTTTGCTAAGATTTGCTAACATCTTACTGATACTATACATCCTTGAATCTAAACCTGATACATCCCCTCACCCTTTGCTTTCAAGTATCATTGTGCTTGAAAATTTTCCTATTGGCATGCAGTACAGCCAGGCGAGCCGTGCAGGAATGCAATGCCAGTAGATGGTGCCAAAACCCTAACAACAGAGGCGGAGCAATTTCTAACTAAGCAAGGAAGGAGCAGCATCCTCTTCCAGATTAGTATTCTTATGTTTTTCATTGCAACTTTGAAAGTCAGTCAGATTTGCTTCTTAATAAAAACATTCTCATTTTTCTTTTTTTTTTGCATAATGCCAATGGTCTATTTTAGTGGTGGCCAAACTTTTTGGCAGGTGTGCCACACATTAACTCTGGACTGTCCTCAAGTACTACTATGTTCCCCTGCCCAATCTGCTGCTCTGCTTCCTTCCTTGTGCTCCCTGTCTGACCTGCTGCTTTGCTTTCTGCTCCCTGCCCTATCTGTTACTGTGCTCCCAGTTCTCTTCCAGATCTGCTGTGTGGCACTCGGAGGCTGCCCATGCTATTTGTGATACTGCCACAGATTGACCAACCCTTGTCTGGAACAAACTTCCAACAGAAGTGGTGCTGGCTCCTACCCTGGGGGTCTTTAAGAAGAGGCTTGATGCCTACCTGGCTGGAGTCATTTGAGCCCAGTTTTTCTCCTGCCCAGGCAGGGGGTCAGACTTGAAGATCTACAAGGTCCCTTCTATGATTCTATGACTCTATGTGATATACCTTTTCTTTATTATGCTTAATTTTCAGTTTCTCGCAGTATTAGCATGAAGCTATGCTTACTGGGTTGCAAACATGGCAGAAAATCTTTGTCCCTTTAAAAAGTTTGTCCATGTGGCATGTTAAAATGAAAAACACATCAACCGAGCTTCGGTTCTGCAACCAAGCTTTTTATAAAACTTGTATTTTAGGTCAAAGTTTACCTCTCTAAAAACTGTGCACTCTGCAAACATAATGTATTAACTTCCCTTATAAATTTAAGTAGGGCCCAAAGCTACATATTCCAACAATGCATCCATTATAGATGCATAACTGCATCCTTGAATAAACAAGTTATGGAAGGTCAAGGAAGAGGAGGTTTGATTACTAGATTACATAGGAACAACTCCGCAAATACTTTGGAATATTTTTGTTTTAAATAGAAATATTAAGTTGATCAAAACATATTTAAAATTGTTTTTAGATCATATTCAGCATGAAAAAAATATGGAAGTAGAGCACAAGGATTTTTTTTTATTATTATTATTTTTTACCTTTTTATCCCCCTGTTTTCGCCTTCGTAGCCCTGGTCTGTAATCATCTCCAAAGCGCAGAAAGTAGTAATAAGAAACTAGTCGTTCTATAGGATCTCTTATGACATTGATGTAAATTGGTTTCTTTTTAACACCAAATCTGAAATAGGGGGGGAAAAAGTTAATGGCACACCTAAGTTTATCCTTCAGTGCCTCAAAAATTACTTTTAAATGAACAAATGAATTCAATTTTTTTTTACCAGTACAAGTGAAACTGTATACATGCATAGGATGTTGGAGACAGGAAATTTGATCTTTTACTGCCTGGGAGTTAATGCTTCACATGATTACTACATTCTATTGTTTGAAAGAACCAAGTACTGTTTAAAAAAAAACAACTGAAGGCTGCAAAGGGTTTTGATAAAAGACCCTCTCTTCCTTGCTGCAGTTACAGTGGATTCCAGAAATGTTAACACTTCCCTCTCTTCTGCCCCCAAAAATCATACACTAGTTGAGTCAAAAACTGCTTTGAGCTTTCTGTTGTTTAAACAACTCATCCCTAGTTGTTGAGCTAGCAATATTAAAGTGTCCTTAATACATTCAGCCACTGCATATATGGTGCTAAACTATAGGTACAGAAAATGTCTCTACAAACATCTTGGCTTAAAAATGAGTTCACTCAGATTAGTAACCACATTTCAGTACTACAGAAGTCCACAGGAAATTCAATGTTGCAGTCCTGTCTCCTCCTGCTGCCGCCTTTTCTAACTGAGCTATGCAGTGAAGCAGGTGGAATTTCTGGCACAACCCCAACGGACTTTAAGAAAGATGGGACTAAGAGTCTGTCTGTAGTCCTGGTTGATTTAATATGGCTTTGAATATTGAGCATGGGTGCCTGAGAGGTTTTTTTTTTTTTTTATAGTGGGTGCCTTTTTTCAGTGTGTACACAATTTCAGGAAATTAATTCAACTGTGTGCAAATTAAAAAAAAACGATCAGAAGTAATGAACTGTTAAGTCCAAGTGACTGACAAGAAAGGCTCCATTGACCAGAACCAGCTGTATATAATTGCCATCCTAAAATGGAAGATCTGGGACTGCCTGCAGGGTAAATTTCCTCATTTTTCTCTTCCTTTTGCAGACTTACCAGCTGTATTTTGGGGGGGGGAGGGGAGGGAGAGGAAATAAAGGAAGAAACAAGCAAAAAATATAATAAAAAAAATTCTAATGTTTTGGGAAGCAGAAGGTACATCGAATATCATGAGCAACTGTAGCACCCTCAAGTGAAACTGAAGACTGGAAAATGTTTGCTTATATTTACATGCAGTGGTAACTGCTAGAGCATTTAATATCAATGATGGCTTATTTTCTCTAGCTAAACCAGAGAAACCTTAGCAGAGCCCAATTTAAGATGCTCCTCAGTTAGAATAAAAAAAATATTTTTTAAAGTTTTAATTTGAAACTTGGTGTTTATAGAGGACTAACCATAAGCTCTTGGGTTGAAAGGATGAGACAGAAATGAAGAAAAGAAGGTGGGAAACAGGAAATAAGAATAATAAATCAAGCAAAAAGTATTATTCTGAAGCCAGACTAGTTACACAGATAGGGACAACATGTGATTTGAGAGGGGAAAGCAGCTATGTGGTCACACTTGGATTGCATCTCTCTGTATGTCACCTAACAGAATGGTCCTCCATCTCAATTGTATCAATCCAGGGGCAGCACCAGCTTCTTTTGGGTTGGGGGGCTGAGGTGGGCTAATCAGAAAATTGGGTGGGGCTGCACAGACAAAGGCAGGACATGGGCCTCATGTGTTTCGTGTGTTGTGCCTCTATGGCTTTAGCCCCTCCAAGCCCTCCCCCCAGCAGCGCCCCTGTATCAATTATACCAAGAGGCACCAAAATATTTTAATTAAATGATAAGGAGATGTTTCCCCATCCAATTGGCAAAAAGAGAATAGCATTATGATGGAAAATAGTTATTAAGGAATGAGTGATGGTGGCACCAGAATGGAAAAAAAATCCAAGTATTTTTATTATTATTATTACTGGTAGTAGTATTACGGGGTCAGTGGCATTCTGATTTCCACTCTCGAGCATCATAAAAAAACTTGGATTGACCCCTTTTCCTGTGGTTCAGTTTCAGCATCGCACAAGAGGCATTTAAAAAATATTTTGGTGAATCAAAGTTTGAGGTCAGTGTTTAATAAGCAGCCGTAATCTTTTCTGAAATATTGTATGCTTCACAACGACCAAAATGCCAAAGCATACCTCACAGCTTCTTTAAAAGTACAGGTCTTTTGCCAAGAGCAACCACAACACTCAATATATTATTTTAATAATGAAAATCACAAGTATGAGAAAGCAAGCTGTTGTGGGGAAAAAAAAATCATTTAGGTGAAAGGGTAACAAACAGCAAACACAAGGATAATGCAGCCCTGGAGGGAAATATGCATATGAATGAAATTTGTGAAATTGCTTAGATGCCTTTTTAGAGGTAAAATAATTATTTTAGTTTGATAAGTTCTAGTACCTACAAAATATTTGCAGTTTTATGCCATGAATAATGTATAATATAATATCTACTTACTTGTTCATGAGACTGTTATTCCATTAGGGGGGTTCAATTCAAACAGTTTAATATAGTACTTTAACTTTTACAAAAAAGACTAGAAGGATAAAGATGCAATTCGATGCACTGTTCTTCCATGTGTTTTAATTAAAAAACACAATTAAAATTGTTCTTTCTTGTATCTTTTTGCAATCTTGAATTGTGTATTTCTTGAAATGTCCAATGGTAATTTCCAGCTGCTGGAATAGTTGTCAGCACTTCCTATTAGATAAGCTATATCAGGATTTTATTGTGCATCCATTTTATCTTATTTTTAAAATAAAAGATATATGTACAAGTAGTAGTGTATATGAGGGTAGGCATTACTGAAAGCCATAACCAATTAGAAAACAGGTGGCAGAAATGCAGATAATAAAGTAAGGCATTTTATTTTAATCCATGGACCTAAGGTGGATCTTGCTTAATGCTGAACAATAAGAAAAGCCCACAGTAGTTACCACATTACCTGAATCCAAGAAGACTGAATTTAAGATGAACCCCCCACAATTAGATTCCATACATGGAACATTGTAAGTTTGTTTAATTTGTCATGTTTAGAATTAACTACTGGAGAGCCATCTTAAATTAGTCTTCCCTGTACCCCTGCAGTGAGGAAAACAGCAGCAGGGGCAGCAAGCAGCAGGGAAAGCAGCAGTAATGAGGGGAGAGGAGGTAAACAGCCTTAACTCTGCCCCTTATGTCCCTCCCCTGCCACTTGCTCTGGTGCCTGCCCCCCGGCCACTTGGCCCCTATGCCCTCTGGCCACTTAGCTCTTCCTCTGCATCTTCACCCCTCCCACTTGTTCCCTCCCTAGTGCCTGCCACCCCCTTCAGCCTCCTCCTCTACCACTGCTTACCATGCAGTAGCCCCAGCTCTGGCCCTGGCCAGAACAATGGCAGTGGCAGCTCCAGCTCTGGTCCCAGACCCATAGCAGTTCTCCTGTACTATCCCCTGCCACCATGCCATCTCCCCTGCACTGCCTCCCTCCTTCACTGCAGTCTTTCCTTTGTGCCACACCACACAGTCTATCCATGTGCCCTCCCTGCCACATCATGTGGTCTCCCCTGTGTTTTCTATCCCACAATGCATGAGCCACCTCAAGTCACCTTGGCCCCAGCCAGGCAGTAGTGACAACTCAGGCCCTGGCCTTGGCACTCAAATCCAAGACAAGGTTTAATTTCCCTATTTAATATGGGGAGATGGGAAAGCTTCATCTTGCATTTGAGTAAATATGGTACTGCTGTTCATGCAACACAGCACACAATGATGTCGTAGATCAGAGCTCTGTTTTAAGTTTGAGCCTTACATTAGTCTTATGAAAAGCAGAAAAAAAGTCTCTAAGTTAAACAGATTTACTTTCTCACCCCAGGAAAAGATACATACTCACAGCTTGTCAAAGATAAATTAATATTTTTTCCTTAA